GCCCTTACTTTTACAATAGTAAGTAGAATCCAAGGGCGTATTAACCCAAAAGGTAGCGGGCTCATATGTATATATATATATGCATAAGGTAGACTATCTGCATGTAAGGACGCGGCCTCTCGAGCCTTCGACTCCGATAGCTCTTGCTCCAACTGCCAGGCACTTTACGGGGCCAAGCGCTCGATCTGGAGGTTTAGAGGGTTAGGGATTTGGGGATTTAGGGTTGTGGGTTTAGGGGGGCAAGCAACAGGGGCAAAGGAAAGTCTGTGAGGCCAACAGCCTAGAAGCCTAGAAGCCTAGCTGGCTCTACAAGCCTGAACTGATTGGGAGGCCAGATGTTGTACGAGGACGTGACTAGCGATTACATGGGGGAGCTGTAGATTGAAAAAGTGAGTCCCCTGTAGGCCTTCAGCTGCCCCTTCTTCATCTCCTCGATCTTCTTCTCCAGTTCCTGGAACGCGACTTGAGCATCTCAGGGTTCAGGGGTTCCAGAGCCATCTCAGCTACAGCCTTAAAACATCTGGGTTCGTGAAGGGTCCTGGCGGCTCTCCTTGCCGTCAAGGGCCAGATCCCTCTCCTCAAAACGCAGGCGCTCAAGGGATGTCAATTATAGAAATATGACCCCTCAACGAGGTCCTCAAATAATCCCGAGATGGCTTTCCAAGATTCCCAAGCAAAGACACCTTCATGTAGTGCCTCACGAATCTTGGGTGCAGGCGATCTGTGCTTGCTCGACTTTTTCAGCCAGCTCCTGCTGTCACATTGTATGCATAGACCTGTTTGAACCCCATGCAATTAAATTGCCATTCACTCCGCTGTTTTGGACTGGCCTCGTAAGTTTCCTGTGCAACGCGGGCTCGCTCCTCGCCACAAGTTCTGGAATTTACCCCAAACAAACTCGGCCGAGTGGTCGAGGTCCACGGATCCACGGATGGATTTGTTGGGTCCTGCTCTTCCAGAAGCTGCTCCCGGAGCTTGGCCCCGAGTTCTTCCGCGCCCGTGAGGCGGCTGGAGAGCTGCTCCTAGCATCAAAAAGGGAGCTTCAACGCATCATTTCGGACCCATCCCGGATCCCGCCTGCTTTTGCTCGGCTTCGGCCACCTGCCCGCATGCCCGCATGCCCGCATGCCCGCATGCTCGCATGCTCGCATGCTCGCAGTTGCATGGCTTCTACAAGTCTACAGTTCTGCAGCTATGTGCAATTCATCATGCTCGTAGTACTACGAACAGAAGGTATTGATAGCCCCGTAGCAGTGCCCTCCCTTGTCGTCTTCGGCTAAGGTGGCCCCCCCCCTGAGGCCCAGGCCTTCCGCGCGAGCACTTGAGCCTCGGCCTGGAGCTGCCTTCGAAACACGAAGAGCAACGAAAGAGAAACAAAAGAGAGAGAGAGAGAGAAAAAGAAAAAAAAAACAGAGACTCATCGAAGACGAGTAAGAAGAGCATAGGTTTCTGGAAAACTTGGGGTTTGGGGTTCAGGGTTTGGCTCCAAGAAATACTAGACTATGACTACTACGATCTCAATGAGCATCCGTGTTCTTGCGAAATGTCTTGGCCGCCCGCCGCTCTTTGCCCCCCAGGACTTCTCGCATGCCGAACATCCAGTCCTCTCCTCTGCCACTGACCACTGAGACTTTTGATCTCCTCCTGTCTCTGAGATCCCTAACCCGCCTGTGTAGTTCTGCGCATCGTCGTCGTCTAAGCCTGCCCAGCCAAAAACACAGGGCTTAACAAGCTGCTTTTCTCCAGAAACAAAAGGACAGGAGGCTGTGAGTTCAAGATGGCAAGACTGCATGTGGGGCATGTGACTTCCCTTCACGATCAACGCGAATCTTCAGCTCAAGTTGCTCCCGCTGCGCCTGGAAGTTTGTAGCCTGAGTCCCTCCATTCTGTAAATGGGTTCCTCGTAGCACCAATAGACTCAACATGCAAATTTGCCACTGCAGGCATCACAGTGACAAGACCCCGCCTGGGATCAGAATCAGAACCTGCCAAACTCGTTCCCCGGCTTGGCACCGTGTTTGCACATCTCAAAGGCTCAGGACCCGGCCTCCAGCTCTTAGAGGTTTGGAAAGCCTCAGTTCACATCTCTAGTCCCAGCTGGGTCTGCTTGAACCAGATCCGAACCTTGCTCTTCGCGACTGAAGGACGGCCTCGGAAAAAGAGGAAAATGAGGGGAAGGGGGGTAGATTTCACGTTTGGGGATCCTGGCGGCGAGTCCGACGCAGGCAGCCCCATGGACCGGAGCCAGAGATCCGCGAGCCCTCTGTGAGGGCCCAGAGGGGCCAGCCAGAGGTCCTGAAAACAAAAGCTCTCGCTTCAAACGCAAAGGAGGAGTAGGTGACCTGAAAAAGGGAGTAGACTATTCACATCCCCTGGCAAGCTGGAGGCTTGCAAGTTTGGAAAGGAGCTCTTCCATCCTTGGGAAACGCGGGGCGCTGCGCCAGCCACGCCCAAAGCCGCCCCAGCGGCCTTGTCAGCGAAACCACGCAATCCCCTAGCACCTAGGACTCCTAGGACCCCTGTTCCTGGGGTTTGAAGGATTTGACCATGCACTTTTGGTTTCGAGAGTTGACGCAACAATCCCACAGAAAGCCTTGAGTCTAAGCACTAGCTCAAAAGCTGTTTTTTTAACGACGAGATTGCCATGCGATGTTTCTTCAAACTGTCCCACACGTGCTTCCTCGAGCATTATGTTGAGAAACCCTTACACAGGATCTGGAGTGGATTTCAGGGCATGCGCGAAGAGATGTTCCTTGCTAGATCCAAGCCGGAACACCAGTGTGCCAAGTGTCGGCAGCTCACGAAGATACATACAGGTACCTTGAATCCACAACGCTTTACCAGTCCTACTGTCCTACTGCCGCGGTGTTCCGGGTGTGGCTAGCCCATGAGGTGATGTTTCAGGGCCTTCCCTGGGACCATCCTCCCGCACAACAACAAGTGCTACGGCTGCTACGATGCTTAGCTCTGTGGCAGTTGGCAGCTCAGCCTGGCACCACCCACAAAACAAAAACAACCCTTCACCTTCAGCGGAAGCAAAGGAGAACAGGGTTTGACATTCGCATGTAAAACCCTGTCATGGCTGCCCAGCTAGAGGTCCCTGAAGCTTGAAGGTTCCAAGTTTCCAAGTTTCCATCTCGGTCGCCTCGAGAGTTGCAGGCTCCATGGTGGCTCTCCCGGCGCCCTACGGGCTTTTCGGGCCATAGCCACGTGCAGCCCAGTGCTTCCCGAACCCACGTCATGCCCACGTCTGAATCTCACAAGTTCTTTCAGGCCCTTTTTCTTCACATCCCTGCGTCGCAATGGCCCCGCGACTTTAGGGCCAAGTAAAGAGGTGAGAAGCAGGCGCTTCCGTCCTGAAAGGCCTCAGGGTCCCCGTCAGAATGCAAGTCACGAAGTGTCCTTGGTCAGGACATGCTATGCATGGAGCCTGAGTTCCCATGCCCTCTATCGGCAGCTGTCGGCTACAGATGCCCATTTTCCCGCCGTGCTGGTCGTTGCTCAATGGCACCGGAGAGGGCAGGGCGGCAAATATTTAAATAGCAACTTGGCTGCTGCGCGCTGCCCAAGGGCTGTCCGCGCATGGTTTGGGGAGCTGGCCATGTATGAATATCTTTAAAATCCAGAGCAACGGGAACCGTATCATGCAATCCCAAATGGGATCCGGGATGGCGCTTAAAACCCTTGTCGAGTCGAGCGCAGTTGGCTCGATTAATTACAGAACATGACTGTGTGTCGTTAATTGTTGTTCACCTTACGACCGCAAAACTGAACCCCCCGCAATCGCAAATTCCTTCTGTGGCCCCTGGGACTCAGAAATGAAGAATCTTGTCGAGAAGCTTTTGCCGCTCGTTCTAGCACGTAGGCATGGACAAGCTAACATTCATCAACACACGTCTGACTACAGATCCTCGGCCTCACATGCGTGGGCAGGGGGTCCCTGACCAGGTTTAAGGTGAGCATTAAGGTGAGAATTCTTCAAACATGAATGTGGAACGGCCAATGGCCCTCTATACACGCTTGTAGCCAAAGAGGTCATAGTCCCGTGCGTAGATGAATTGGACCTTTCGCATGATCTCAGCATCGCACTCAAGGGCATTGTGACAGGCGTCACGACCGCTGCGATCTCGGCACTTCCGCTCATGGCCCAGGCACTGTCGCATCTCAGCGTCCGCGTGGCTCGGGGCCTCACGGAGGCATCTGACAAGCTCTGATGACAGCTGCTCGAAATGCACCACCTGATCCACCAGCAAAGTTCCTGAGTCAGGGTCAAGCAACAGTGTCCACATGGGCCGGAAATGGATGGGGATATCCCCGAGTTCGTCTGCAGGCCATGTGGTGGGCCACTGCTGCTTGCCGGTCGCCACTTCCAGGCTGAACTCGTACAAGAAGTCAAGCACAGCCTTGAAAGACCCCAACCCGGTAACAAACTGATGACCTAATCGATCCACCCAGATCATCTTACCGTTTTCAAACTTCTGGAGTGTTGTGGAATCTGAGGCATTGTAGTAGTAGGCGCTCAAGAGCCGGTCGAATGGATGCCGCACAACTGTGATCTTGTAGGACTCGTCGAATGCAGCTTGTCCCATGTCACTGCGGAACTGGTGCAATGCCAGGTGCTGTGCTCTCAATGGCACCTCACCAGGCATGAAGAAGAGAGCGTCGCTGACAGAGGTGCCTGCAGCCTTGGGAATGTGGGCAAAGATCAGCTTCCGAGATTTGCAAATCTGCACCCACTGGCGGCGACGTTTGCTTGTCACTTCGCGGCATTCTTCCTGTGCTTGTAGATCATCCAACGACATTGACGTCACATCCCAGCGCATTGCAGGCTCGGCCTCCGGTGGGGCACGTTGCGCGGCCTTGGCCTTGTGGGATTTGAGAGCCTTCAAGGCGGGGAGCACAGCGATGTAGAAGATTCCCAAGAAGCAACAGGAAATGCAGAGCTGCTGGACAGCATAAGAATCGCGCCCGTGTGATTGGATCGTTTTGCGCGCAAGCCAAGCGCCGAAGCCGCCGATCCCATTTGCCATCAGGCCAAACCACAACATGGAGGTATTGGCGTCAAGGCAAAATCCTCGCGGCAGCACATGTTGCTGCAAGATCCCAACACTGAGCCCATCTGTCAAGTACAAAGTGGGGAACATCAGGCCATCTGCAAGAAGCAAAGTGAGCAGGCTCATGTCCGGGATGAAATCAAACAAGAGCAGCGACGAGAAGATGGCAGTGTACGAGAGGAGCTGGATCCAGGCTACTGGTGACAGCTTGTGCTTGAACTTCAAGTGAATGGCTTTCAAGGGTATGCAGCCTAGGAATAAAAGGCCGATGACGACACCAATTGGCTGCAAGTCCCATCCATAGCGGCGCTCCAGAAGCAAGCTTGTCCCTGCCTCCAAGGCGACGCATACCAGCTGGCGAGTCGTCGACATCAGAAGACAGCCACAAACCACCAAGCGCCTCTTCTGCAAGTCGTCCCGGGTTGGCTCAAGCTGTGGCAACTCTGAGTTGATTTCAATTTCCCTTGGCCACAGCAAGAACATGGCAAAGAAGGCAGCCAGTGCTATGCAAAGCTGGGCCATTGAGATTGAATCAAAGCTTCCCTCACCGCCGAAAAAGAGAGCAGCTGAAGACACCAGGGGCCCGAAGCCAATCCCCAACATATTGGCCATAGCAAAGCGTGACATCTGTTCAGGCCGCTCTTCCAGAGGAATCATCATGTTCAGGCTGTACTGGAACAGCTGTGCACATGCTCCGAAGCCTGCTCCGCTCATCGTACGGCTTCCCAGAAGGAGCCAGGAGAGGCCCCAGCCAGTGGATGCGTTTCGTGAAGCAACGAAGCCGACGGCTGCAAAGGTTGCGGTGCTAAGAAGTACCAAGCCAAGCAAGGACAACAGAGTGAGCCGGGCATGTCGCCAAAGCTCTGCACGAAACCTGATGAGAATCCACATGGGAAGCCGCCCCAGGCAGTTGCCTTGGGTGAAGGCCCCGATCAAGGCCCCAGAGAAAGCATCATCCTGGCCAAGGGCCCATGATAACTGTGCAGCCTGTGGCAGCACCACAGTGAAGCTCAAGGCCCCCAGGAACTGCACAAAGAGCAACACGTAGCAAGCACGGGCAGTGCCTCCCTTGGCTTTGCCCTCCATTTGAATCACAGAAACCAAATGCAAAAGGAACGGACTGAGAATCATAGTCTACAAGTGTTTACATTTGCTTCTGTCTTGCCTGCATTGCATGTTGACACCGGACTGCGTGTCTGCAGGACTTCTGGGCCACGAGCCTGTGGAGAAAGTTTCTGAAGTCAACATGAGGCAGGAGACCAACCGCAAACCCAAGTGCGGCGATGGGGTTGCACCCGGGCATGCCAAACAGTTCTATTGGCTGGGACTGCTGCCTGGTCCAGCGTGGCATCCTCGCAACGAACGCAGGACAGAAGCCCAGAGAAGCAAGAGACTTTGCCAATGCCGTTCATGGGCACCAACACAAGATTTTGGGCCCATACTGCTGATAGGCTCCGACGGTGCAGGCTCCATGGTGGCTCTCCCGGCGCCCTACGGGCTTTTCGGGCCATAGCCACGTGCAGCCAGGTGCTTCCCGAACCCACGTCATGCCCACGTCTGAATCTCACAAATTCTAGGAGCCCCTTTTCTTCAAGTCCCTGCATCACCCTCAAAGCCTCTTTGGGGCCAAGAAAAAAGGTGAGAAGCAGGGGCCTCCCTAACTCCCTGACACGCGGGAGCTTGTGCCTGCGCGCTCTGTCCGATCTTCGGCTCAGATTTGGAAAACTAGGGATGGGCAGGAGGCGCCTCCGGCAGGTTTCGGCTTCAGCTGAGTGGCTCTCGAAATCCGTGCTTAGGGCGGTGCTGCTGGCTGCCGGGCGCAGCAGGAAGGAGGGGACCTGAGCATTGGTAAAAAAGGCGCATGCACAAGCTGGACTGGAGCTTATACCGCAATCGCAGCCTCCTCCGTCTCGTCTGCGGCCACAGCGAACTCCTGAGGCAAAGACTTCCTCTGAAGATGCTTGCAAGAATAGAAACCAGATCCTTGACTATCGGGACCATCACCTCAGAGGGCAGCACTTCCACACAGCCTCAACGGCGCCACGTTCTCTGAGCTGTTCGCCAGAAAGTCGCTGGTGCTGAACCTTTCGACTAGGCTGTTCGAGAAGCTTTCAACAGAAATCACAGTCACACCTTCCTCCATGGGAAGTGGTTGGAAAATGAAAACATGAAATGTGCACAAATGCCAGTGCTGGACTACTGCTTGGGCCTGGAGCCGTCGGCTTTTCTTGGCGGCGCGCCCCGCCGGGCTGAGGCTGGGCCTTCGGCCGGGCCCGAGCCCTCGCAGAGCTCCACCGCCTCACACGGCACTCCTTCCTTCAGTAGCCCCCCACTCCCCCACTCACTAGACTCTCTATAGATCTCTCTAAACTTGCAGACTTCCAGGCACCTGGGCCTCCTCGGCCACCTCCGGGTCCACATGCACAGCACGCGTCCCAGCTCCTTATCACTGTTGCCTCCAAAATCTGTCTCCACGCTCTCATCCCCAGAATGATTCACACTGAGTAAATGCTTCAAGTTCTACAAGGCTGCTGACCATAATATCGGTAAGTTTTAAATTAAAAACCTGCCACCCCTTCTCAACATTTCTCAACTCTTGAGCCCGTCCTGGGCCCACTCGGGTAGGGATCCAGCCGCGCGCCGGACCCCGGTAGACCTCCACATCACCTTGCACAGGGCTCGTCGGGACTTCTGCTTGTGCACATGGTTCAGGAGACAGAACTCAGCATAACTTCATCTGGTCCCCAGGTGTCCAGCTCCCTTCCAAGAAGCGTCGCTTCACGAAGGAGGCCTCGCAAATCCACGCGTAGACAGCGGCAGCTTACCCCGTGCAGATAGACACCTCTGCCACAGCCACGGCATCTTCACCAAACACCCGCACCTGACCCAAAGAGCCAAGCCAAGCCCATGCAAGACATACCCAAGACTCTCAGCACAAAGATCTACCACGAGGCCTTGTAGTGGCGCAGGAGCGCAGTAGTGGCCTTTCTTCTAGGTGCAAAGCTTACAGCCACTCCTTTCTGCTGCCGTGCCTCCAGGCCATCGACTTCCCCGGGCAGCCACTGGTTCCTGGACCTGCGAAGCATCGGTGAAGCTTCGCAGCCTGCGAGCCTGTGAGGCTGCGAGACCTTTCTGAGGCTGTTGCCAGAGCTCCACAGGCTCGCCGGGTTGCAAGGGCCTCGGTGAGACTCCCAAGCCTACAAAAGACCACATCGACAAAGTAACAAAGCCTGATGTCTTCATTGGCGTCAACTTGTCAAACTCTGCCGGGCGGACGCCCGCAGCAGCTCTAGCGGGACGTGCGGCCGCTCCTGTGCCTCTTGGCAGCATGCGGCAGGGCAGTTGCATAGCTTGCATAGCACTGAAGCCCGGAGAAACGTTAAATCTGCCAAGGCACCAAGCGGCCCTTGAGCGTGACAGAGTAGGAGACCGCTTTCCTGGAGAAAGAGGGAATGCTGGCATAGTGTCATTTGTGTTCATTGAATTCATCTGTGGCTTGCAGCTGTGGACTGGGCCCTTTTCCCGACGCGCTGTCGTGTTGATTTGCAGGCGTTGCACCCACCCTGACTTTTGTCAAGGTCTGCATGGTTGGTGACACGCCGCTGGCAAGGGAGCTTATCTCCCAGTCGAAAGCATAATATTGCAAACGAAGACCTCACACTTCACCCTTGTTAGGTCTGATTTCTGGCGGCCCTTCAGGGCCACGGGGAGCCACCAATGGGCAGACTCTCCTGAGCAAACTGGCACTCCTTATGCTTCTTCACGTGGCCTCTGCTGCCAATGTGCAACAACATCGTCTGCACGTGGCGCCGAACCTCCAGGCGCAAGGTCCACAAGATGCTCTCCATGCTCTTTCCGCCCGCTTTCCATTCTTGGCATGTCCACCCTGCAGGGCTGCGCTTTTTCCGGCCTCAGGGGATGGCACCGTTACCAAGCGGGCGAGCACTGGGAGGATCTGCGGCAAGTACCTCGCAGCAAGGTGATCAAAGGATCCGAAAAAGTCTCTTCAAGAAAATGTCTTCAGGGTCCTGAGGAGCGTGGGTGTTGGAAGCTCCTCAAGGTCTGGCAAGATGAACTCGGCCACCGCCTCACAGCCAAGTGCTACGCTGCTACTCGCCCTGCTATGGTCTTTTTTTCCAGCTGAGGCTCGGTGGCCATCTGCTTCTCACCTGCTTTACGCACGCCGCACAGAGCCACGAACTACTTACCTGTTCGTATTTGTATGATTGGGAGTTTGTGGCTTGTGCGCTAGGCCGCTAGGCTCGGCCTTGCTGCAGCTGATTCGACACCTTCTCGCACACTGGCTCGACGACGCTCTCAATTACCTTTAGAGCCGGGTGCGGTGGGGCGCAGAAAGCAGAATTCTAGACCAAGGCATAGGCCTTGGACCAAGTTGCCTCGTTGAAGCTTTTTGCGCCCACATCTCGGAGGCACTGAAATGCCTTGTGTCGCTTGAAGTCGTCTCAGAACTCCAACTCTATGTCCAGGGCATGCACGGAACGAGAGAGGCACTTTAAAGAGTTTGATAATTGAATCACATTGCGCTTCTCTGGCCATGAAAGCGCGACGAGTTCGACCCTCAGGCTCTTAGATCACACTCGAGCTCTTGGCAAAGACGTCCTAAGGGACAGAGTCAGCCCAAAAAAATCCATCCTGGATCGCGGTTGCAGGCAGGCCTATCTGCCCCTCAAGGCACAGTCAGTTTGTGGCCGTTTGTGGATATGCTACCATCCGCGACTCAGGCACGCATGCCTATCTCACTGGCGCGTCAACATGAAAATCTGCCAGCACCACCGAAACACTGGAACACAATACACAGAAAGAACTCGAATGAAAGTTTGAAAAGGCTTTCCAGCTGTAGAGCATAAGACATACCGAGGTCAAGGCAGAATACATCATCTGCAAACAGAGGATCGCCCGAACCTAGAAAGACGCCTTCATACCTCCGCAAGCTGCCCTCTGCCTTGGCCTCTCGGAGTGCACTCACAGATTCAGACTTAGATGTGCCGCCGTGGGATACTCGCATCGGAACATGCTGGGAGCATGTGTGGGCATACAGTGCTGGGGATCTAAGAGAAGGGCGCAGGCAGGATGAGGCGCGAGTTCTTGGGCATGTTGAGATCTGAACAATCAGAGCCAGTACAAAGGCCTCTCTGCCAACACATGTGTAAGAATCTTGCTAAATAATCTCCGGCAAGCTCTAGTGACAACTTACAACACCGTTTCACCTCCGAGCACGATTGGGTCCGCAATTATTTGGTGTTTCTTTGTTTTATTTGGTGATGTTTTTCGTTGTTTAATCCTTTTGGAGGGCAGATGTGAGGACGCTCCACGCCAGAGCCTGATTTTAACTACAAATGCGATGATGGATTTTGAAGAGTGTCGACAGAATTTAACAATCCCATAATCCCGTCGGGTTTGCGATCCTCTTGAGATTGTCTCGGATCCTTTGGAGGTTTGGAAAGCGTCAACAATCACAGGATGTGCGGGGATCGCACGCCTGATCCTGGCATCTGTCGCTGGTTTTGGACTTTGACTTTGGATCCTCTCGGAATTTGAAAAGTATCGAATCGAAGTTTCGGCATGGGCATTGCAATTTGCAGCATCTTGTCTCGCGCAAAGCTTGCAAATACTAAATTACAGCATTGTCGGCTCATCTAGACCTTGCTAGCATTTGGAGCTCATCTAGAGCTTGTAGACAAAGATACAACATTTGAAGCCTTTCAGAGCTTTCAGATACTGTAAATGACAGCAATTGGATTTTTTTCCGCAAATGTTCTGAATTTTGGGGATTTGCCGATGTAGATTGTTAATTACAACATTCGGATTTGCAAAGAACGTAGACACTGCGAGTTGCAGCAAGTAGAGAGAATTTCATTTGCGCGCTTGGATGGCGCAACGTCCCCTTTGCACACAATATGATCTGCATAATCCTCCCTTACCTCCCTAGGGCACATGGCGGTGACAAGTTCTTCATATATAGATAAGTTAAGTATGCAAAAGGGTACCTAGACAAGGAGTAACACAGCGTGCAGTGTGCCTTTTCCTTGAGCCACGAAGTATGTCATGTCACCTGCAACTACACTCCTAACCGGTCATCTACCATAATAGCAAAACGTGCATGGGGTGCGAGTTTTGTTAACTCCCTCCTTAAGGATGTGTTGCAGTGAAACATCGGAAGTTACTACTTAGAGGTCGGTATGTGAAAACCAAGTTCAAGGAGAAGATTCTTGCGTTGCTCCGACAATCTTTCAGGCTGCCTGATTGTGAAAGCAATAGCAACGATCCTATCACTAGCATGTCCAGTACTCACAACTGTACATTGCAATGCTCTCGGGTCAAACCTGGCAGGATTGCCTAACAGAGTACCCAGCTGGGCACGACTGATATCAGGGCACCTGGCGCTACCTTGCTGGTCCTCAATCCAGAGGATGGGACCGTGGGCAGGAGTCAGGGAGACAAGGAGATTGCAGGATCCCTGTTCATTGTGCAAGTCTTCGTGAAAAGAAGTGACTACGCCTTGCTGAAGGATCACACTGGTGTAAGTGTGGGATGGCATGTAATGGTTGAAGAACCTGCAGATTGCAGACACGGCTTGCCTATGTTGAAACCAAAGTTGGTTGACGTGCCCGCTGACTTGATCCAGTTTTTCGTGCAACAAGGCCTGATTAGTCCGCACCTGAGAAATGCAAGGCATCCCACTTTGCACCGGCTCAGATTGTGTGTTTCGCACGTTGCGAATTTAAAATGAAGCAAAGGTCCTTTGGCTCCTGGAGTTGTTCGCGCGAATGAAGGACGGTGCTTGCACTGCGCTCTTGCACTGTGTCTTACTGGTGAGCATGGTTCTATCTTGCATGCTTTTGTCCTTAGCCAAGATTCCTCAAGGGAAGTTTTGGAAATTCCGAAAACATGTATAGTTGCGGAAAGACTTACGTTCTTTGGGCTGCAATCCTAAGACTACCATTCCAGCAGACAGTCAGTGCGCTAGCTGTTCCGACTTTGCTTCATGAAGCATTGCCGCCTCTGCAATCATGTCGGACAGCGATGCAGATAGCATCCATGCTACTTGCCACAGTTGGGCTTAGGCGGCCCTTCTTCGACTGCTCAGACCTCGATGCGACAATGCCGATCAGCTTCACAAGTCCATTATGGGCTTGCAGAAAGCAGTTGATGCGAAGAAGCATCTCCAATCGCTGCAGGGGCGCATGCTGACAGCTGCAGACCTTTCTGCCGTTCTTCATGATGTTCGACGCATCTGTGCGTTCCCTATGTGTCCAGACAAAGTTGATCAGGAATACTCGCCTTCCCTTCTTGATCAGGAGATTGAAAAAATAACATCCAATCGTGGTGATCCGGACAAGCTGTCTTTCAGCCTGCTCTTTCTCAGATTGGAGCCTGACACGTTCACCATCATGAAGGCGGACACTAATGATGCTGCGCTGTGTGTGCTGACATGATTTCATCTGCCTTCTCACTTGGACAGGTCACATGGACTCCCAGACACAATGCTCACGGATATGAGTATCTATGGGTTCTGCGAGACGTTTGGCAGTACCTTGGTGTCAGCACAAACTTCTACTCGTGGCACAGCAAGCAGATGCGGCTTGGCGTCATGAGTGAAATGGAGTCCATGTGGCAAGTGTCTGGGCATGTCTTTCGTGCGGATTCATACCGGGGCGAACAGGAGGTTGTGACTTTGCCTGGGCTTCGCTATGACACCTGCACATCAGCTGGTCTACTGACAATCCTTTGGCATCTTCGGCCAGGCTAGACAGCTCTCGGGCGCCTTGCAAAAAAATGTGTGAACCTCCTGAGAAGGTTGATGACAAACCTTTCACTTGGGGAAGAGCTTTTGATTCTTCCCCAGTTGGCTCTGGCGATTCAAAACGGGCATGTTTCTCTTCGGCCTCTGATTGGGCGGTTGTGCGCTGATGATCGTGTCAGCGTGAAGAGCAGGTGGGTTTTGCTCAAAATCGTTTCTGCGCCATGAGAAGATATGCGCTTATTCGTGTGTGTGTGTGTCCAGGTGGCAAAACTCCGTCTCCTTGGGTGCTTCACGCTCAAACTTCAAGGGTATGGTTCCGATTGCTGACGTGCTCTGGTTTTTTCTTCGCCTCCCATGCTCAGGAGATGATGTCAATGAACTACCGGCTGCGCGAATCCAGACAAGATTGATTCATCTGATCGCACAAGCAACGGAGGAGGCCTTCGCAGGGGGCGCAGTATGCTTGAGGGCGACACCTCCAAAGCAAGGTGAAGGGCTGGAATCGGCAACGACACCGTGGTCTTCAGGATCCAAAAACAGCAATGCTAATCTTGCTCGCCAGGAGCTGCTCAAGCGTTTTCTGAATCGTGGAGCCGGATATGTGACAGGTCTTGGCAATGCTGGGAATTCGGATCTGACTCTGGAGGATGAAGAGCGATTGCCTGGCGCCAGAGGCAAAAATGAGGCCACCGTGGCCGCCAACCAGTGGGTGACTGCCTACTTCTCTTCGGCGTCCGAGGCTTTGCTCAGGAAGTTGGCAAAGCAGCAGTTCAGGCACATCAGCATCTTTGAGGACGCGGCTTCTGTGTCCACTCACGAGGTTCGCTCATTGGGATTTGTTCAGCGTTCCCTAGATTCCATGCCCAGCATCATGCCAACCCTAAACTTTATCTGGCTCCTGCGCCCACCAGGTGCTGCAGGTCATACTTGCATGTGACGGTGCACTCGTATCTGCACCGATCTCGTTGCTTCCTCAGCTCAAGGTCACTGCGGAGACAGAGCCTAGTGAGAATATGGCGAAGCTGGAATCCTTGCCTCCAGACGTTCCTTTGCATCAGTTGAAGCGAAAGGCTACTAGCCTGGCAACGCAAGACAAGAACTTGTCTCCCGAAGAAAAAGTGACCACTCGCCAAAAACTTCTGGCCATCAACAATACCTTGCACCACCTCCTCAAGTTCAGGTTCAGTGATGCCAAACCAGCGCTTGCTCTCCGTCCATGCAAAAATGATGAGAAAAGATGCTCGGTCGTGGTGAATGGTGTGAAGAGATCTTTCCTCTGGTCGCCAAGCACCAAGCAATCTGTCTGGCAGTCCACGGATTTTCCGGGCTTCAAGGATTCAAGGAGTTGCTCAGGCTCAATCTTTTGCAGGATGAGGGCGATGCCACCGCGGCT